GTGGTTGTATGTCGTCCTCCGTTACCAAAAACATTGAATCAAGGTGCGCGTCACCTCGTTCCTTCAGGCTACAGCTTCTACTTGATGTGTTTGTATGTCGTCCTCCGTAACTAAATACATTGAATCAAGGTGCGCGTCACCTCGTTCCTTCAGGCTACAGCTTCTACTTGATGTGGTTGTATGTCGTCCTCCGTAACTAAATACATTGAATCAAGGTGCGCGTCACCTCGTTCCTTCAGGCTACAGCTTCTACTTGATGTGTTTGTATGTCGTCCTCCGTAACTAAATACATTGAATCAAGGTGCGCGTCACCTCGTTCCTTCAGGCTACAGCTTCTACTTGATGTGTTTGTATGTCGTCCTCCGTAACTAAATACATTGAATCAAGGTGCGCGTCACCTCGTTCCTTCAGGCTACAGCTTCTACTTGATGTGTTTGTATGTCGTCCTCCGTTACCAAAAACATTGAATCAAGGTGCGCGTCACCTCGTTCCTTCAGGCTACAGCTTCTACTTGATGTGGTTGTATGTCGTCCTCCGTTACCAAAAACATTGAATCAAGGTGCGCGTCACCTCGTTCCTTCAGGCTACAGCTTCTACTTGATGTGTTTGTATGTCGTCCTCCGTTACCAAAAACATTGAATCAAGGTGCGCGTCACCTCGTTCCTTCAGGCTACAGCTTCTACTTGATGTGTTTGTATGTCGTCCTCCGTTACCAAAATCATTGAATCAAGGTGCGCGTCACCTCGTTCCTTCAGGCTACAGCTTCTACTTGATGTGGTTGTATGTCGTCCCCCGTTACCAAAAACATTGAATCAAGGTGCGCGTCACCTCGTTCCTTCAGGCTACAGCTTCTACTTGATGAGGTTGTATGTCGTCCTCCGTTACCAAATACATTGAATCAAGGTGCGCGTCACCTCGTTCCTTCAGGCTTACAGCTTCTACTTGATGTGTTTGTATGTCGTCCTCCGTTACCAAAAACATTGAATCAAGGTGCGCGTCACCTCGTTCCTTCAGGCTACAGCTTCTTCTTGATGTGTTTGTATGTCGTCCTCCGTTACCAAAAACATTGAATCAAGGTGCGCGTCACCTCGTTCCTTCAGGCTACAGCTTCTACTTGATGTGGTTGTATGTCGTCCTCCGTTACCAAAAACATTGAATCAAGGTGCGCGTCACCTCGTTCCTTCAGGCTACAGCTTCTACTTGATGTGTTTGTATGTCGTCCTCCGTTACCAAAAACATTGAATCAAGGTGCGCGTCACCTCGTTCCTTCAGGCTACAGCTTCTACTTGATGTGGTTGTATGTCGTCCTCCGTTACCAAAAACATTGAATCAAGGTGCGCGTCACCTCGTTCCTTCAGGCTACAGCTTCTACTTGATGTGTTTGTATGTCGTCCTCCGTTACCAAAAACATTGAATCAAGGTGCGCGTCACCTCGTTCCTTCAGGCTACAGCTTCTACTTGATGTGTTTGTATGTCGTCCTCCGTTACCAAAATCATTGAATCAAGGTGCGCGTCACCTCGTTCCTTCAGGCTACAGCTTCTACTTGATGTGGTTGTATGTCGTCCCCCGTTACCAAAAACATTGAATCAAGGTGCGCGTCACCTCGTTCCTTCAGGCTACAGCTTCTACTTGATGAGGTTGTATGTCGTCCTCCGTTACCAAATACATTGAATCAAGGTGCGCGTCACCTCGTTCCTTCAGGCTTACAGCTTCTACTTGATGTGTTTGTATGTCGTCCTCCGTTACCAAATACATTGAATCAAGGTGCGCGTCACCTCGTTCCTTCAGGCTACAGCTTCTACTTGATGTGGTTGTATGTCGTCCTCCGTTACCAAAAACATTGAATCAAGGTGCGCGTCACCTCGTTCCTTCAGGCTACAGCTTCTACTTGATGTGTTTGTATGTCGTCCTCCGTTACCAAAATCATTGAATCAAGGTGCGCGTCACCTCGTTCCTTCAGGCTACAGCTTCTACTTGATGTGTTTGTATGTCGTCCTCCGTTACCAAAAACATTGAATCAAGGTGCGCGTCACCTCGTTCCTTCAGGCTACAGCTTCTACTTGATGTGTTTGTATGTCGTCCTCCGTAACTAAATACATTGAATCAAGGTGCGCGTCACCTCGTTCCTTCAGGCTACAGCTTCTACTTGATGTGTTTGTATGTCGTCCTCCGTTACTAAATACATTGAATCAAGGTGCGCGTCACCTCGTTCCTTCAGGCTACAGCTTCTACTTGATGTGGTTGTATGTCGTCCTCCGTTACCAAATACATTGAATCAAGGTGCGCGTCACCTCGTTCCTTCAGGCTACAGCTTCTACTTGATGTGTTTGTATGTCGCCCTCCGTTACCAAAGACATTGAATCAAGGTGCGCGTCACCTCGTTCCTTCAGGCTACAGCTTCTACTTGATGTGTTTGTACGTCGTTCTCCGTAACTAAATACATTGAATCAAGGTGCGCGTCACCTCGTTCCTTCAGGCTACAGCTTCTACTTGATGTGGTTGTATGTCGTCCTCCGTAACTAAATACATTGAATCAAGGTGCGCGTCACCTCGTTCCTTCAGGCTACAGCTTCTACTTGATGTGGTTGTATGTCGTCCTCCGTTACCAAAAACATTGAATCAAGGTGCGCGTCACCTCGTTCCTTCAGGCTACAGCTTCTACTTGATGTGTTTGTATGTCGTCCTCCGTAACTAAATACATTGAATCAAGGTGCGCGTCACCTCGTTCCTTCAGGCTACAGCTTCTACTTGATGTGGTTGTATGTCGTCCTCCGTAACTAAATACATTGAATCAAGGTGCGCGTCACCTCGTTCCTTCAGGCTACAGCTTCTACTTGATGTGTTTGTATGTCGTCCTCCGTAACTAAATACATTGAATCAAGGTGCGCGTCACCTCGTTCCTTCAGGCTACAGCTTCTACTTGATGTGTTTGTATGTCGTCCTCCGTAACTAAATACATTGAATCAAGGTGCGCGTCACCTCGTTCCTTCAGGCTACAGCTTCTACTTGATCTGTTTGTATGTCGTCCTCCGTAACCAAAAACATTGAATCAAGGTGCGCGTCACCTCGTTCCTTCAGGCTACAGCTTCTACTTGATGTGGTTGTATGTCGTCCTCCGTTACCAAAAACATTGAATCAAGGTGCGCGTCACCTCGTTCCTTCAGGCTACAGCTTCTTCTTGATGTGTTTGTATGTCGTCCTCCGTTACCAAAAACATTGAATCAAGGTGCGCGTCACCTCGTTCCTTCAGGCTACAGCTTCTACTTGATGTGGTTGTATGTCGTCCTCCGTTACCAAAAACATTGAATCAAGGTGCGCGTCACCTCGTTCCTTCAGGCTACAGCTTCTACTTGATGTGTTTGTATGTCGTCCTCCGTTACCAAAAACATTGAATCAAGGTGCGCGTCACCTCGTTCCTTCAGGCTACAGCTTCTACTTGATGTGGTTGTATGTCGTCCTCCGTTACCAAAAACATTGAATCAAGGTGCGCGTCACCTCGTTCCTTCAGGCTACAGCTTCTACTTGATGTGTTTGTATGTCGTCCTCCGTTACCAAAAACATTGAATCAAGGTGCGCGTCACCTCGTTCCTTCAGGCTACAGCTTCTACTTGATGTGTTTGTATGTCGTCCTCCGTTACCAAAATCATTGAATCAAGGTGCGCGTCACCTCGTTCCTTCAGGCTACAGCTTCTACTTGATGTGGTTGTATGTCGTCCCCCGTTACCAAAAACATTGAATCAAGGTGCGCGTCACCTCGTTCCTTCAGGCTACAGCTTCTACTTGATGAGGTTGTATGTCGTCCTCCGTTACCAAATACATTGAATCAAGGTGCGCGTCACCTCGTTCCTTCAGGCTTACAGCTTCTACTTGATGTGTTTGTATGTCGTCCTCAGTTACCAAAAACATTGAATCAAGGTGCGCGTCACCTCGTTCCTTCAGGCTACAGCTTCTACTTGATGTGTTTGTATGTCGTCCTCCGTAACTAAATACATTGAATCAAGGTGCGCGTCACCTCGTTCCTTCAGGCTACAGCTTCTACTTGATGTGGTTGTATGTCGTCCTCCGTTACCAAAAACATTGAATCAAGGTGCGCGTCACCTCGTTCCTTCAGGCTACAGCTTCTACTTGATGTGGTTGTATGTCGTCCTCCGTTACCAAAAACATTGAATCAAGGTGCGCGTCACCTCGTTCCTTCAGGCTACAGCTTCTACTTGATGTGTTTGTATGTCGTCCTCCGTTACCAAAAACATTGAATCAAGGTGCGCGTCACCTCGTTCCTTCAGGCTACAGCTTCTTCTTGATGTGTTTGTATGTCGTCCTCCGTTACCAAAAACATTGAATCAAGGTGCGCGTCACCTCGTTCCTTCAGGCTACAGCTTCTACTTGATGTGTTTGTATGTCGTCCTCCGTTACCAAAAACATTGAATCAAGGTGCGCGTCACCTCGTTCCTTCAGGCTACAGCTTCTACTTGATGAGGTTGTATATCGTCCTCCGTTACCAAATACATTGAATCAAGGTGCGCGTCACCTCGTTCCTTCAGGCTACAGCTTCTACTTGATGTGTTTGTATGTCGTCCTCCGTTACCAAAAACATTGAATCAAGGTGCGCGTCACCTCGTTCCTTCAGGCTACAGCTTCTACTTGATGTGTTTTTATGTCGTCCTCCGTTACCAAAAACATTGAATCAAGGTGCGCGTCACCTCGTTCCTTCAGGCTACAGCTTCTTCTTGATGTGTTTGTATGTCGTCCTCCGTTACCAAAAACATTGAATCAAGGTGCGCGTCACCTCGTTCCTTCAGGCTACAGCTTCTACTTGATGTGTTTGTATGTCGTCCTCCGTTACCAAAATCATTGAATCAAGGTGCGCGTTACCTCGTTCCTTCAGGCTACAGCTTCTACTTGATGTGGTTGTATGTCGTCCCCCGTTACCAAAAACATTGAATCAAGGTGCGCGTCACCTCGTTCCTTCAGGCTACAGCTTCTACTTGATGAGGTTGTATGTCGTCCTCCGTTACCAAATACATTGAATCAAGGTGCGCGTCACCTCGTTCCTTCAGGCTTACAGCTTCTACTTGATGTGTTTGTATGTCGTCCTCCGTTACCAAAAACATTGAATCAAGGTGCGCGTCACCTCGTTCCTTCAGGCTACAGCTTCTACTTGATGTGTTTGTATGTCGTCCTCCGTAACTAAATACATTGAATCAAGGTGCGCGTCACCTCGTTCCTTCAGGCTACAGCTTCTACTTGATGTGTTTGTATGTCGTCCTCCGTTACCAAAAACATTGAATCAAGGTGCGCGTCACCTCGTTCCTTCAGGCTACAGCTTCTACTTGATGTGGTTGTATGTCGTCCTCCGTTACCAAAAACATTGAATCAAGGTGCGCGTCACCTCGTTCCTTCAGGCTACAGCTTCTACTTGATGTGTTTGTATGTCGTCCTCCGTTACCAAAAACATTGAATCAAGGTGCGCGTCACCTCGTTCCTTCAGGCTACAGCTTCTTCTTGATGTGTTTGTATGTCGTCCTCCGTTACCAAAAACATTGAATCAAGGTGCGCGTCACCTCGTTCCTTCAGGCTACAGCTTCTACTTGATGTGGTTGTATGTCGTCCTCCGTTACCAAAAACATTGAATCAAGGTGCGCGTCACCTCGTTCCTTCAGGCTACAGCTTCTACTTGATGAGGTTGTATATCGTCCTCCGTTACCAAATACATTGAATCAAGGTGCGCGTCACCTCGTTCCTTCAGGCTACAGCTTCTACTTGATGTGTTTGTATGTCGTCCTCCGTTACCAAAAACATTGAATCAAGGTGCGCGTCACCTCGTTCCTTCAGGCTACAGCTTCTACTTGATGTGTTTTTATGTCGTCCTCCGTTACCAAAAACATTGAATCAAGGTGCGCGTCACCTCGTTCCTTCAGGCTACAGCTTCTACTTGATGTGGTTGTATGTCGTCCTCCGTTACCAAAAACATTGAATCAAGGTGCGCGTCACCTCGTTCCTTCAGGCTACAGCTTCTACTTGATGTGTTTGTATGTCGTCCTCCGTTACCAAAAACATTGAATCAAGGTGCGCGTCACCTCGTTCCTTCAGGCTACAGCTTCTACTTGATGTGGTTGTATGTCGTCCTCCGTTACCAAAAACATTGAATCAAGGTGCGCGTCACCTCGTTCCTTCAGGCTACAGCTTCTACTTGATGTGGTTGTATGTCGTCGCGTCACCTCGTTCCTTCAGGCTACAGCTTCTACTTGATGTGGTTGTATGTCGTCGCGTCACCTCGTTCCTTCAGGCTACAGCTTCTACTTGATGTGGTTGTATGTCGTCCTCCGTTACCAAAAACATTGAATCAAGGTGCGCGTCACCTCGTTCCTTCAGGCTACAGCTTCTACTTGATGTGGTTGTATGTCGTCGCGTCACCTCGTTCCTTCAGGCTACAGCTTCTACTTGATGTGGCTGTATGTCGTCGCATCACCTCGTTCCTTCGGGCTACAGCTTCTACTTGATGTGTTTGTATGTCGTCGCGTCACCTCGTTCCTTCGGGCTACAGCTTCTACCTGATGTGGTTGTATGTCGTCGCGTCACCTCGTTCCTTCAGGCTACAGCTTCTACTTGATGTGGTTGTATGTCGTCGCGTCACCTCGTTCCTTCAGGCTACAGCTTCTACTTGATGTGGTTGTATGTCGTCCTTCATTGAGAAGGAATCCGGCTTGGCGCCCGGCGTTTTCTCTGTGAAGTTGTGAATAGTCGTTCCATCAACCATTATCTGAAATATACACACAGATCAATTTTTCTTCAAAGGTTTAAATTTTTCAATGAGGACTTTCCATTAATTGTAGTGTGAGAGAGTGGCAGACCGACTGACTAAGTGAGTGTCCTCCTTGCTCATCCTACCCACCCACTTTCGCGATGTTGACGCGATATATCACGATGTGTAAAATCTTATGAAATATGGTCCAGGGGCGTGTGTGCGTGCGTGCGTGCGTGCGTGCGTGTGTACGTGCGTGTGCGTGTGTGAACTCTCCTTACTTTGTTTGAGGTGTGGGCGTGGTCCTGGCTATGTGTGGGTGTGGGTGTGGTGAATTCTTCTAACTGGGATTGAGGAGTGGGCGTGGTCCTGGCTATGTGTGGGTATGGGTGTGGTGAATTCTTCTAACTGGGATTGAGGAGTGGGCGTGGTGCTGGCTATGTGTGGGTGTGGGTGTGGTGAATTCTTCTAACTGGGATTGAGGAGTGGGCGTGGTCCTGGCTATGTGTGGGTATGGGTGTGGTGAATTCTTCTAACTGGGATTGAGGAGTGGGCGTGGTGCTGGCTATGTGTGGGTGCGGGTGTGGTGAATTCTTCATACTGGGATTGAGGAGAGGGGCGTGGTTCTGGCTATGTGTGGGTAACGGTGACGTCTCCCTCTCCTCCCTCAACTTCCTGGGACTCTACCTTAGCCGCTGTCTTGTCCCCAGTCAACTTCAACTACAACTTCCTGCATACTGATATTGAACTCTGGAAACGAACTGATGTGCTCGAATAAATCGTCCTCACATTGTGTCTGTCGTGAAAACGTGTTCACGACGGGTCACAAATACTGAACTAGGTCATTACAAGTGTAGTACGATAAACACCTGCTAACCAGATACTTAACCGAGCTCAACACCAGTATCACACGAGCAGGACACGATGTCACATGAGGAGGACACGATGTCACACGAGCAGGACACGATGTCACACGAGCAGGACACGATGTCACACGAGCAGGACACGATGTCACACGAGCAGGACACGATGTCACACGAGTAGGACACGATGTCACACGAGCAGGATACGATGTCACACGAGCAGGATACGATGTCACACGAGCAGGACACGATGTCACACGAGCAGGACACGATGTCACACGAGCAGGACACGATGTCACACGAGCAGGACACGATGTCACACGAGCAGGACACGATGTCACACGAGCAGGATACGATGTCACACGAGCAGGACACGATGTCACACGAGCAGGACACGATGTCACACGAGCAGGACACGATGTCACACGATAATTGGAGCTATTTTGATCATGTCCAAAATATCGTGGACCAACCACGATCTCTCACGATGTATCATACGGAGCTGAGTATGTGTTTATAACGAGCTCATTACGATGTATAACGATCTTTCACACGAGCTTAACATCGTGATATATCGCGGCAAACATCGCGAAAGTAAGCGGGTCGCCTTACTCTCACCTTATAGATACCAGCGACCAGGAGGACGGACACGTTGGCCTCTTGTCCAACTACAAGTAGATTCCTATTGGTGCGTTCTTCGCTACCCCACACCCCGTTTGCCTTGCTGTTGAATACTGAGGTGTCCACGATGCCCCCGTAGCTCAGACGGAATGAGATGTGGCAAAGGACGTCAGATCCTCTGTGGATGTTCACTGAACACCTGCAACAGGCGTGGCAAGGACTCAGTCGGATTGACTTGTTCCTTCTTAATCATGACACTTGCATAACAATTGACAAATGACTACGACCTGCACAACCTTTGTTTTCTCTCCTTCAAGATGTAATTTTATACGCGGATCAAGAGGGGGTGGGACACACACACACACACGCACGCAACCACGCACACGCACGCACACACACACACACACACACACACACACACACACACACACACACACACACACACACACACACACACACACACACACGCACGCACGCACGCACGCACGCACCCACGCACACACACAGGCATACACACTCTCACACACCTACACACACCACAGACACACACCACATACACACCTACACACACACCTTCAGACACAGATACACCTCCAAATGTACATACACACCACACATACCCGCACACACCTACAAATACACCACAACACACACACACACCTATACACAGACATACAGACCTACACGAACACACAAACACATATGTATATGTATGTATGTATATTGTAACAGCACAGCACAACTCTTACTGGATCTGACGCAGTGTAACAGCTAATAATCTGGTGGACGTGAGATAGCTAGATATCGCAGTGAGACACACTTCGTGTGTAACAAGCACACGTCCACCCAACATAGACTTTACCTTGTGTTCTCTGTCGGAGTGCCCGTGATGGTCAGCTCCATGGTGCTGGAAGGACCGCAAGGTAGAGGATACACGATGTTTGTTGCCTAGGGAAAAACCGGAAAAATAGCAAAATGGGTGGCCATACGAACATCATGTATGTCTTATAATATTAAAAACACATCGTGCAATAAGTACATCGTTAATGATAACATGCATGCATGCAACTTGTCGTGGCCATGCAGTCTTAGGCGCGGCAATTCGCTGTGCAGAGTTCCGCCCCTTGGGCGTGCAAGGATCTCGTGATCGTGGATTCGAATCCCGGATTCGAGGACGTCACCCGTGCTCTTGGGTTTCACCAAGTGATAAACGTCTATGACCCGTAACACTTTGGTTTCACCACATCAGTGAGTCAGTATGGTTTTACATCCCTGTTAGCAATATTTCAGCAATATCACGGCGGGATACAACCATAAATGGGCTACACACATTGTATACATGTGGGAAAACGAACCCGAGTTTATGGCGTGATGAGCGAACGCTTTAACCACTAGGCTACCCTACCGCCCCTCTCCACATCAAGATTTGACCCTATGATATAAGTGATGTACTGTTTCATTTCTGGTGTCCCCCGCCGTGATATTGCTGGATTATTGCTAAAATCGGCGTAAAACCATTCTCACTCACTCACTCACTCTTCTGTCGGAACAAATAAACATATTGCAGGGAAAGGTTACGTGTGCCATCGACGTACGTGTCACATTCTACCATCACCATATGCACATACAAACAAGATCAGGGGTAGAGTCTTTCCACCTATGCTTGTCGTAAGGGGCGACGGTGCTTGTCGTAAAAGACGACTAACCGGATCGGGGGTCAGGCTCGCTGACTTGGTCGATGCATGTCATCGTATCCCAATTGCATTGATCGATGCTCATGATGTCACTCACTAGGTTATCTTGTCCAGACTCAAATATTTACAGAACGCCGTCAAAAAGCTGGAATATCGTTGAGCGCGGCTTGACACTACACACAAACAAAGCTTTCTACTGTACTCACCGGGGTGCGCCATCTGTACTGACCACAGAGCCCTGTCACGTCCCCCCACTCCCCCGTGGACTGACACACACTGGTGGTTTGAGTGTCACATTGCTTGTAGTCCTCGTTACATGTGTATATACTGGCGGCTCCGTGGAACTGTCCCCGGGTTAATCTTGTAGCTCCAAGCACGTCTGGCGGGGACCCACACGGGACGTCTGGAAGAAGAATGTTATTGCTGGATATCATATATTATATATGACTAGCGGGGACAGAATGATGCACAGCCTTCATTTCGGCGTTCTGTATAACGCGTCATTTGCTAATGAATATTATATTTTCCATTTAGATAAAATTTTATGAATATTTCTAGGATGCATCCTACTTTGGGAGTGGACTGTGAGGCTGCCGCAACAACAGCGAACGTTTTCTTGAGCACACACCATCGAGTTAACAACGACACCAAGGAAAGCAAATCTGTATCTAGGGTATGCAGCAATGTAGCATTACATTGTTCAAAAGGAAATATTAATACAAATACTTAATGCTAAACATTAATAAATATGGTAAAAAATTCAGATGTAGTGCCTGGCGTTTTGAGACATTCACGGAGTAAGGATTAACTGCCTCTGTTGTTTCCATGATGGGGTTAGCTATATTTTCGATGGCCCCATGGCACTAATGAGCAGGGGTATGGCGCTGACAAACCATGGACTATACTCAGCGTCAACCTGGGAATCGGGCCCACAATCATCAGATCCTGGCACGGCCGAGCACCACGACTCGAGTACCCCGTCTAGTAATGTGTGCGGGGATGCTGAAAGTCTTTACAGAGTTTTGTTATTTAGTAAGCAGAGATGCTGAAAGACTTTACAGAGTTTTGATATTTAATTAGCAGAGATGCTGAAAGTCTTTACAAAGTTTTGTTATTTAGTAAGCTGGGATGCTGAAAGTCTTTACAGAGTTTTGTTATTTAGTAAGCTGGGATGCTGAAAGTCTTTACAGAGTTTTGTTATTTAGTAAGCTGGGATGCTGAAAGTCTTTACAGAGTTTTGTTATTTAGTAAGCTGGGATGCTGAAAGTCTTTACAGAGTTTTGATATTTAGTAAGCTGGGATGCTGAAAGACTTTACAGAGTTTTGTTATTTAGTAAGCTGGGATGCTGAAAGTCTTTACAGAGTTTTGTTATTTAGTAAGCTGGGATGCTGAAAGACTTTACAGAGTTTTGTTATTTAGTAAGCTGGGATGCTGAAAGTCTTTACAGAGTTTTGTTATTTAGTAAGCTGGGATGCTGAAGAGTATCGAACAGAGTTTTTGTATCTAATAAGCTGAGATACTGTAATGTGTCGTACAACATGGATGTATTGAGTAAGCTGAGATGCTGAAATGTATTGTACAGTGTCTTCGTGAGGAACGGGAGATGCTGAAATGGGTTGTCAATCACAAGCAAAGTATATCATATTCTTAAAATATCAAAATCAAAACTACCGCTGGAAACTAAAACATATTTAATTGTTAAGATTCGTTTCTCAAATACTGATTTAACCCGCTTGGAATGAAACATAATACAACTTAAAATACATACTGTTTCGTTACATGGGATAGTATCTGGTGTATGGATTTCGCAACTGTGAGTATTGTTCAACTTTATTTACAAGTTTAACAAGGGGTAAGGGAGGCCCATGCGCCCGAGGCGCCACAATTTACTGTGCAGAGGTACATGTACGTCCGTTAGGAAAGCCAGAATCCCAGGGATTCGTCCTGATTCTCACTTGGTTTTTCAGCACCATACCTGTGCTCGTGGGTTTCAACAAACAGGTAAACGTCTGATACCTGCATCACTTCTCTCCCACAAGCGTTACACGCCGTGATATATATGAAATAATCTTGAAAGAGGCATCTAAGTAATTCAATCACGCACTTCTAACCCTTCTATGTATTACGTTCTCTAACATCTACATAATATTTAGAGACAAATGGTTCAGAGAACTTTCATCATGTGTATGAGAGCGCCGTTCTTGTTATCATCGCTTAATAAATACTGCTCTCTTCTTTAGTATAGTTACAGAGATGGGTTGGTGGTGGAGATACCTGGTACACATGATGTTTGAGCCAGCCGGTCAACCTGGCACCTGGACATGGCCGGACACGGCTGGGCAGTAGCACAAGGACCAGAGAGGCGCTGTGGAGAGATGGAGGAGACGAGTGAAGGTGATATTCTCTTCAGTAAACACCCGACAGAAGCAATTCGCTTCGCAATTCGATTTTCGCAAAAGGATGTCACAAAACTTCTTTATTCATAGGCCTTATTCCAGTGGCCTATGAATTGGAGAATTAAAGAAAAATTCAAACCATTTCGAAATCGATACTTATGCAATCACAGATCATCATAGGAATGAGAAATAGACATAAACGCATGTCTTTGACTTCTGACAATAAGTGTAAAAGGCTGATTTTAGAGGCGTTTAGGAAGCGTTTGAATATTTTGCCACAGATAAAAAAAATGACGCATAACTTAGAAAACTCGGCCTATTCAATACAAAATTTAGCCATACTTTAATGTATTGTGTTCAAAACTTTCACTTGTGAGAAAGAATACGGTTACTTGTCAGTCATATGCAACTTTAAAAATGGACATTTCCTGTGGTCAAAGTGCCCTCGTCATACTTGTCCTTTGGTAGGTCAGAATATATCGTGAAAAGTGAAACACCATAGGCAATGTCTCGTGTGTGTAAAAGTCTCTGAAGCTACCCACCGAAAGACCTCTTTATGGTATATATAATATTTATGCACTTATAAATTATAATTAGGTTATGCTAAGAATAAACGTTATACATTTTAGCGAACTCGTTCAAGTTTTTGCAAATCATAAGCCGACTTCTAAACGCAAATTGCTTCGCAAATTATTTGCATTTATCTAGCTCTTACATTGTCAGCTTGTGATCACGTGATGAACCCCTTTTAGCTGCATCTGCCCTTGTGTACACGTCATCAGTAGGTCGGGTCTTTAATTATTTAAATTGACTTGAACAACACCTACCAGTGATGTAAACATTACATACATAACGCAATATCTCTAGATACGGCTACATCCGGAAACTTTACCTGCGGCCAGTGGTGGATATCACTGAAAAACGACCCGACTTCAGTGCTGACATCAACATGGGCGCTGTTGTTGCTGTTTAGGTGGCAGGTGTGATGCTTGTGGCTGAAGGACATGCATGTTGATGACATGAGGCACTCTGTTGCACACTGGTACAGAGATGCAGTTCCGACCTTCCTGTATGTGTGGCTTGCCATGTAGGTGTCGTTCTGAACTGCTGACCATACGTCAAAACATCTTCCATGTGCCGCCAACACCGCCAGCTGGTTGGTGAAGATGACAGTCAGAACAAAAGAAGCACACGACATCCCGAGGTTGTCGTATAGTCATACACTCTCGTTCAACTGAAATGTTCGCATCCAACCAACCTCCACTTTTGTAACCAGTGATATATAAGCGGAGATGAGTTGTCCGTTTCTGCTGTTTAACCTTCTTCTCATGAGTGGACGGATCGTCACACATTGTCTCGCAACACAATCATCAAGACAACCGAAAATCATTGTTGCGTAAATATAGGCTGTGGAGTAGCAATACATCAGAGTATTCAAGCTATTGCTATTCATTACTATTCATTTTAATCTCATTAAGGCGATTTAGAGAACAAATCAATACATCAGTAATATCTCCTCTATATTAATGGCTGATTTGATGAATTTACTTAAGTAGCGACAACAAACAGTTCAGCTCTTCAATATCATTACTGAAACACAAACAACATCCGACGGAAATGAAATCTGATGAATGGTTAATACCTGAAGCATTGTTCGTATATCTGCATATATTGATTATTTTCTATTTTCAATAAATCACCGAGGGTCATGCTAATGGACACTTATCAACTGACTGCAAAATAATCTGAACTTCCATGGAAAACATAATCAAGGTGAATCAGATATTGGAATACACAATCACGCCTACTGGAGAACTCTTCATTGATTGAGCCACCTAAGACATTCGTTGGTGGTATGTACTCAGGGTGGTGGTAGATACTTAAGATGGCGTTATATACTCATGGTGGTGTTATATACTCATGGTGGTATTATATACACATGTGGTGTTATATACTCAAGATAGTGTTGTATACTCATGGTGGTGTTATATACTCATGTTGGTGTTATATACTCATGATGGTGTTATATACTGATGGTAATGGTAGTTAATGATGGTGGTGGTAGATACTGATGGTGGTGTTATATACTCATGGTGGTGGTAGATACTCATGGTGCTGTTATATACTCATGGTGCTGTTATATACTGATGGTAATGGTAGTTAATGATGGTGGTGGTAGATACTGATGGTGGTGTTATATACTCATGGTGGTGTTATATACTCAAGGTGGTGTTATATACTGATGTTGGTGGTAGATACTCATGGTGGTGGTAGATACTGATGGTGGTGTTATATACTCATGGTAGTGTTACATACTCATGGTGGTGGTAGATACTGATGGTGGTGTTATATACTCATGGTGGTGGTAGATACTCAAGGTAGTGTTATATACTCATGGTGGTGGTAGATACTGATGGTGGTGTTATATACTCATGGTGGTGGTAGATACTCAAGGTAGTGTTATATACTCATGGACGTGGTAGATACTCATGGTGGTGGTAGATACTGATGGCGGTGGTAGATACTGATGGTGGTGTTATATACTCATGGTGGTGGTAGATACTGATGGTAGTGTTATATACTCATGGTGGAGGTAGATACTGATGGTGGTGGTAGATATGTTACAGGAAACAAGTATAATCAGTGATTAAGTCTAATAACTGGAAATTTCAGTGATTATGTCTAATAACTGATTCACTCGGTGGTTATGTCTAATTACTGAAATCTTCAGTAATTAGACATAATCACTGAAATGAACCAAGGGATTGCATACTTGTTTACTGAAAGCATATCCCTGCCTTTTTATGATAACTTGTGAGAAGGCTTCATAATCCTGTCCTAAGCCAATCTCACACTATCAAGCGCGCTCACCCGGGAACTGGTCATGGCGGAAGAGATAAGATGATTCATGAAATAAATAAGAAGTATGCCAACATCACCATTGATTCAATCTCCCTCTTCAAATCCATGTGTACGGAGTGCCAGCGGAAGAGGAAGCGACCAACCAACAAGGGGACCGTTGTCAAGCCCATTCTTTCCAAGGACTTTAATTCAAGGGCTCAAGTGGACCTCTTCGACATGCAGTCAATGAGTCAAGGCCAGTATAAGTGGATCATGGTTTACCAAGATCATCTTACCAAGTTTGTTGTGTTGTGTCCCCTAACGTCTAAAGTTTAGACACTAAACGTGCTTCTGAAGTCGCCTATCAACTTTTGGACATATTTCTCCTACTTGGCGCTCCTTGTGTGCTCCAAAGTGACAATGGATCTGAATTTACAGCACAGGTTGTAACTGAATTGAAACTTATGTGGCCCTCATTGGTGATCGTGCACGGAAAGCCTCGACATCCCCAAAGCCAAGGTTCTGTAGAGAGGGCGAACTGTGACATTAAAGACATTCTAGTTGCTTGGCTTGGAGACAATGACACCAGTGATTGGACTGTAGGACTTAAGTTCGTCCAGTTTCAGAAGAATTCAAGTCTCCACAGTGGTATCAAAACCTCACCATTTGCAGCTCTCTTCGGATCTGATGCTCGGACTGGCCTTGCATCTTCAACCCTGTACAATGCTGACGATTTCAATACCGATCGAACACTCTCTTTGCGTCAAGCGGTTCAACTTGACTCAGTCTGTGGTGGTCAAGGCTTTGTAAGGTGTAAACGGTGTCAGACCAATCGCTGCAAATGTTTTAAGGCCAAGATGCAATGTAATTCTAGATGTCATTCAAGTCTTTCATGTGCAAACAAACATTCCTGAGTGTCCATCTGACTGCTATTTGTCATACCATTCATGTCATACCATTCACGTCATACCATTTTATGAAATAAAAGATTGAACTGTTTAAGCTTATTTCTGTGATTTTTGTGAAAGGTATCTGGTTACAGGAGGTTGTATTTACTTTGATAGCTAATCTAATTTCAAAACTAGCACATATTATAAAAACAAGGCAGGGATATGCTTTCAGTAAACAAGTATGCAATCCCTTGGTTCATTTCAGTGATTATGTCTAATTACTGAAGATTTCAGTAATTAGACATAACCACCGAGTGAATCAGTTATTAGACATAATCACTGAAATTTTAAGTCATTAGACTTAATCACTGATTATACTTGTTTCCTGTAACAGATACTCATGGTGGTGTTATATACTCATGGTGGTGGTAGATACTGATGGTGGTGGTAGATACTCATGTTGGTGTTATATACTCATGGTGGTGGTAGATACTGATTCTGGTGGTAGATTTTGATGGTGGTGTTATATACTCATGGTGGTGGTAGATACTGATGGTGGTGTTATATACTCATAGAGGAGTTATATACTCATGGTGGTGGTAGATACTGATAGTGGTGTTATATACTCATGGTGGTGGTAGATACTGGTGGTGGTGTTATATACTGGTGGTGGTGTTATATACTCATGGTGGTAGATACTGATGGTGGTGTTATATACTGATGGTGGTGTTATATACTGATGGTGGTGGTAGATACAGATGGTGGTGTTATATACTGATGGTGGTGGTAGATACTCATGGTGGTGGTAGATACTCATGGTGGTGGTAGATACAGATGGTGGTGTTATATACTGATGGTGGTGGTAGATACTGATGGTGGTCTTATATGCTCATGGTGGTGGTAGATACTCAAGGTGGTGTTAGATACTGATGGTGGTGTTATATACTCATGGCGGTGGTAGATAATGATGGTAGTGTTATATACTGATGGTGGTGGTAGATACAGATGGTGGTGTTATATACTGATGTTGGTGGTAGATACTCATGGTGGTGGTAGATACTCATGGTGGTGGTAGATACAGATGGTGGTGTTATATACTGATGGTGGTGATAGATACTGATGGTGGTGTTATTTGCTCATGGTGGTGGTAGATACTCAAGGTGGTGGTAGATACTGATGGTGGTGTTATATACTCATGGTGGTGGTAGATAATGATGGTAGTGTTATATACTGATGGTGGTGGTAGATACTGATAGTAGTGGTAGATACTGATGTTGGTGGTAGATACTGATGGTGGTGTAATATACTCATGTTGGTGGTAGATACTCATGGTGGTGTTATATACTGATGGTGGTGTTATATACTGATGGTGGTGGTAGATACTGATTCTAGTGGTAGATTTTGATGTTGGTGTTATATACTCATGGTGGTGGTAGATACTGATGGTGGTGTTATATACTCATGGTGGTGTTATATACTCATGGTGGTGGTAGATACTGATGGTGGTGTTATATACTGATGGTGGTGGTAGATACTGATGGTGGTGTTATATACTGATGGTGGTGTTATATACTGATGGTGGTGGTAGATACAGTTGGTGGTGTTATATACTGATGGCGGTGGTAGATACTCATGGTGGTGTTATATACTCATGGTGGTGGTAGATACAGATGGTGGTGTTATATACTGATGGTGCTGGTAGATACTGATGGTGGTGTTATATACTCATGGTGGTGGTAGATACTCAAGGTGGTGTTAGATACTGATGGTGGTGGTAGATACTGATGGTGGTGTTATATACTGATGGTGGTGGTAGATACGCATGGTGGTGTTATATACTCATGGTGGTGGTAGATACTCATGGTGGTGGTAGATAATCATGGAGGTGGTAGATACTCATGGTGGTGGTAGATACTCATGGTGGTGTTATATACTGATGGTGGTGGTAGATACTGATGGTGGTGTTATATACTCATGGTGGTGGTAGATACTGATGGTGGTGTTATATACTCATGGTGGTGTTAGATAATGATGGTGGTGTTATATACTCATGGTGGTGGTAGATACTGATGGTGGTGTTATATACTGATGGTGGTGGTAGATACTGATGACGGTGGTAGATACTCAAGGTAGTGTTATATACTCATAGTGGTGGTAGATACTCATGGTGGTGGTAGATACTCATGGAGGTGGTAGATACTCATGGTGGTGGTAGATACTCAACATAGTGTTCTATACTGATGGAGGTGGTAGATACTCATGGTGGTGGTAGATACTCAAGGTAGTGTTATAAACTGATGGCGGTGGTAGATACTGATGGTGGTGGTAGATACTCATGGAGGTGGTAGATACTCATGGTGGTGTTAGATACTCATGGAGGTGGTAGATACTCATGGTAGTGTTATATACTCATGGTGGTGGTAGATACTCATGGTGGTGTTAGATACTCATGGAGGTGGTAGATACTCATGGTGGTGTTATATACTCATGGTGGTGGTAGATACTCATGGAGGTGGTAGAAACTCATGGACGTGGTAGATACTCATGGTGGTGGTAGATACTCAAGGTAGTGGTAGATACTCATGGTGGTGGTAGATACTGATGGTGGTGTTATATA